TCGATGACAACATGTATACTTTTTTAAATCATCTCAAGCTAATCAATATATTTAAAAGTCATCCAATGGACCTTCTAAAACCTTCGAGTCTATACATCGGCAACAACATAGCAACAACTAAAAGAATTAGCGCTTAAACTTTTGCTTGGAGTGACATCCAGGCGCGGATCTAGGATTTTCTCTCGGGGGGGGGGGGGATTTTCAAAAAAAAAAATCGAGCTCTGCCAAAGCACCAAACCGGCCCTGTTTTGGCCAAATTTTTTGCGCCACAGATAAAATTTGAAAAAAAAACAGGCCAAAAAATGCGTTTTTAGGCTTTTTTTGGAAAATTTTGGCCAAAAAGTTGCGTTTTTTGGCACGCTCCCCCCCCCCCCCCCTCAAAATTAATATATATTGGCGCCAAAGAAAATTTTTAGGGTACGTCACAACATTGGACCTTTTGAGTCGGCAGGGGGTCGAATCCTTAAGGGGTGGAGAGGCGTCCGCACCCACGCCACCCCCCTCTAATTCGCCCCTGGTGACATCTTATCGCCTCTAGTGTCAAAGATACGACCTGCCAAAGTAGACAAAAACAAAGATCGCCTTGAAAAACTCCCTCAGACTAAAGAAAAGGAATAATGCAATAAATGTAAATGAATCCGTTGGTTGCAGGAACTCATTATACGGAGAGAAAATAATTAATCAGGGAGAAAACAATTCTTTTAGGGTTAATGCTAACGGTGAGAGCGACTTGAGACAGAATGATTTTTAAACAAAAATTCTGGGAAGTGCGAGTCTTCTATGAAATCCGGCGTCGGAAGCCCAGAGTCAATTTTTAAAGAAGATTGTTTGACATGAAAAGAAAATGGATTACCCTTATTTTAATAAAGAGACAGCAGAACAGTGGAACAAGGGTGAGTCAAAGTAGATGTTTCAGCAAGTACACAACTGAACTTCACTCAATCCTAAGTGAAATCCTCCGAACTTTTTTCTCTACTGAAACTCCAGTGTGTGGCTCAATTGTAAAAAAAAATGCAGTTTTTAGGGAAAATTAACCCAAAGTTATACGTTTTCGCTCATTTTTTTCCTATTAGGAGCCAACAAAAAATTTAAAAAGTATAAAAAAAGTATTTACTTTCGTTTTTTCCGCTCCCTACACATCGGTGACAAATGATTATGGCCTGACGTTTTTATGGATTTGTTGTTTCATTATTTTACTTGATAGTTTTTGTTTTGACATTTTAGTGATCTTTTAGTCAAAAGTTTTGTGGTCCGAGAAACAACTCCGTTTCAACGCGCAATGGTTAGTTCCAAGGCTAGCCTTCCTGCGTATTCAATTTCAATGAACAGACCTTGTCGCAGACTCAAGTTCAAGTAACTAGTTTTGAAATAAGATATTACCTTTGTGCATTCTTAGAGCTGAAAGGTTTGATTGAAAGGTTTTGAATCAATCTACAAAGGTTCAATTTTAAATTTATCACAACGCTCAATCCTCGGGGCTTGGTCGATTTCTTTTATTTAGGGAGCTGGTGGTAACTCGTGTTTCATTATACCGGAGTTGTTATAGAGCATCTTCAACCGTGTCAGTTATTTGTCCTAGTGTTAAAACCGTTATTGTAACTCTTACCTGTTTGATTGACTGGCAGTTTTCGTTACTTTCCGAGTTTTTAATGAAGTTTTACTTTTAAAAATCGGCGTTCATTGTGATTTTTCTGATTGGGGAATCATGTTTTATCTGAAAGCGATTGAAGGGTTGTTTGATGGGGTGGTTCTCGTCAATGTTTTTTTTTCAACTTTTGAGTAAGTCGCGTTTTTTTTTTCTCCTAATTATGTTTGTTTTGTTCTATTAGTTCCTTTTCAGTCCTAAACTGGTTGTTCCGTAAGTTTTTCTAGGACATGTTATAGGATTTTAAGTTCAAGATAGGTTGAATACTGGATAATAAAATGAAAAATGTAGAAATGAATTTAACAAACCATTTTCAATTAAGGTAGACAGAGTTGATTTTCGAGGTCGGGTCGCACAAAATAAAAGTTTTTTTTTGTGAAAAAAATCGACAAAAATAAACCAAAAGAAAAATGAGAAAAAAGGTAATCTGAACTAACAACAACCAACTAACATTGTAAAACCAGCTAAAATTTCAAGTGGTGCCCGCACCGAGCGTCTAGGGATTTTAATCGATCATTACGGATCATAACTCAACTTGTGGAGAAAAATTCAAAAAAAATCGATTATAATTTATTGGATTTTATTGGATTTTATTGCTTCGAAAATTAGTATTTGAGAAAAAAAACTGAGAAGAAAATAAAGTACTTAGGGTTGAGGTTCAAACGTAAGCACGTTACAAGTTTTGGGACAAAAACTATTCTAAGAGTGTAAGTAGTCAAGCACAAAAAATTCCGGCAGTTTTTATTCGCCAAGAAACATGGAAGTACATGATAAAATTAACATAAGAAGCAGACCCTACTACTCCAATCTGGAAAATAATGCAAGTGCGAAAATATATTTTGCATTGTTTGCACTTGATGATGGGATTTTTTAAATATTTGGTTGAATTTTAATGCTCAAAACTAAGTCAATCTAGTTTTTGCACATTTTTTGTGTGCTATTATTTAAAAAAAAAACAATTACAAATTAATCTTTTTTTTATTTCATGTATATATTTTGAAACGTGGAAGTTTCCGAATAAAATTTCCTTCCTTGCGTAGATATTGAGGAACAAGGATAGCCGGTTATTGTGCAAGCACTAGAGTCTTTGGAAAAATACGGTTTAGGAAGTTTTTTTTTCCAAGTTAGTGTAGTTTTTCTGCTTGGTTTGATAAAAGGATCTGACGTAAAAAAATATAATTGAGGTATAATAGACAGTCATCGTGATATAGGGACAATCAAATTGGAACTAAAACATTTTCGTAGAGAGGGGGGTCCAGCAAAAAACGTAAAAAAATAATTTGTGGTGGTGTTTTCAGATCACATTAAGTAGTTGATAGCACTTTCTGGAAAAAAATTTTTGGTTCCTAAAATGAAGCTAAAAAACTCAAAAAACTAGTTTTACTTGCTTAAAATTAAGCGATAAGGTCCTAAATTAGACATAATTCAGCTGTTGTAAGCCAGCTCGCTGGCTCAATTTGCTCGAATTAAGACAAAAATCAAAATTTTCAAACACGTTTTTCTCAACAACGGGGAAATTTTTTGAAAATTTTAAAAAATGATTCGAATTGCGACTGGAAGGGCTGATATATAACTGAACCCAGTCCAATATGAACTTGTGGTATCTTTTTGCGTCGAAAACAAAAAGAAAAAAACTAAAACACGCTCGAATAGAAAGCTCTTCGGGACAATTGAAAAAAGGGGATGTTATAGAGATTTCTTTGTGTTCTAATTTATCTAATTGGTCTCTGGTCAGTAAATTAATCAAGCTTTACAAAAACATAAAAGCAGTAGTTTTTGTTTAAAATTCGCTCGTAGAACCTTTTTTTGTTCTAATAATTATGTTTGTAGATGATTGAAGTGAGAATATAAAAAATTTTTGTACAGGTTGTATTTTTGCTAAAATGTATCCAGTTTTGACCAAAAAGGTAGCATATACGAACACTTTTTGGCTTAGTCAACTACACGGGAGTTTCATATAATGATAGCCTAGCGTAGATCTTGAAATTCACCAGAGAAAAAAGCTCTTTTTGTTCCGACTTTCGATACGAAAGTAACGGAATATTTGTGCTCGGGGTGGGATTTTTTTCTTCAGACAAATTTCGGCTTAATAACGAGCCAATTTTGACAAAACTTTTTTATATCATTCGAAAATTATTGTTGTCATGAGCTCAAATTTGAAAGATATTTTACCTATGATTATTATTTGTAAACTTATGGGGGTTTAAAGATTGCCATTTTGGCCAATTTGGGACAATTAACGAGCGATACATTTCGCGCTATTAACGCGTAAGCCGAGATTTAATCCGTCTTAGAAATCATTCCAAATTGGTTGAAAGAAGTTTATTCGCCATATTTGATTTGTTACAAGTAGCGAAATCTATATTTTTGTACTTAATATGGCGTGTGGGGGGGTGATTTTCATAAAAAATTTCAAATTTTAGAAAAAAAAGTTTCTTTTTGATTTATTACGTTTAAATTTTTTTATGTTCTTACTGCTCCATAAATCTTAAAAGGCAGTCGGAACATTCAGGGCTTCGCCCTGATACGAGCAGTCTGGTTTCGTTTTCAATACATCTTTTTTGTTTCAAGACCAAATTCGATTTCGAAATCATGTTTTAAACCCTTTCTTTCAATCTCAGACTTTTCGTATACCTATTTTTTACTGCTTGGATAAAAGATAGAAAAAAATTAAGAGCAACTAGAAAAGCCGTAACCTCATATAATGTTATAATTATTTCGATCATCACATGCTCAGTTATTAGACCATAAACCCTTGTCTCAGTCTTTTTTTAAAAAGTAATTTAAACTGAGTTGTTCTTTGACAAAATCTTTCTTCGTTCAGAACGTAATGAGGTGGGGTGCTACAGCTACATTCCACTGTAAAACAGGCTTCTCTCCTTTTTTATCTCTCAGAATTGACTTTCCACTGGTACAAATCAACTGTTATCTAGTTTATCAACCTTTTCATAACATCGTGCAGTTTATGCATCAAGAAAAAACACTGACTAAAAGAAAAAATTGAATATTTCTCATGATATATTTACAAATAACTCTTGGTGCAGGAAGATATATTTACACGAAGGCGATAGAACAGCTTCAATTTTAATTTCGAAGACTAGGGCAAAATTAGATTATTTTGAAAGCAGATGTATAATAAAATAGAGCAAAATATGTTAATACTGATTCTTAATAATCTAAAACACCAACTATATGCTTTGTAATTTTTTTTATTTTTAGAAGGCTATAGCCTGTTTTTTTTCCAGTCACAAATTTTTTTATTTACATAGAAATCATAGCAGCTATCTTGTCATTCGAGTTCTCCACTGCCACTTTGCAGATACTGATACCACACGAGTGTGCTCCCTTCCTCGTCAAAACGAAAGGTTTTCTGGCAATGTGGGCACTCCGGTTCACCCATCCTACAACGAAACTCAGATAGACGAGAAGAAGTATGGCATTTCGGACAAGCGTACCTGGTATATCTGAGACCCTTTAGATTCATAAGTTTTTTAGCCAGATTTTTCAGTCCGTGTGTTCTGTAGTAAAGTTTTTCGTCATCCGAAAGAGCTTCAGTATCAACATACACTCGCATGAATTTCATGTTCAGTACCTCTGGATTTTGGATTCTAAAAAAACCTTTGTCCATCTTTTTGCCCCAAGAGTTCATAAATCGCAAACTACTGGAGTCATAGCTGGCCAGTACAACGGCGTGACCTTCTATTTCTCCGCTCGGCTGGCCCAAGTCCACCTTTGTTAAGATACCTTTCGGAGTGCGTTCGAAGAATTCGTCGAAACGTTCCCATTGATTTTTGGTCAATTCAAAAGATCCAATTACAACTTGCTTTGAGAACCAGGGATCCAAAGCTTCTCGGGTTTCTATTTGACTGTAGCAAAGTCTATATTCTTCCACATATTCTTTGAGGATAAGTTCCAATTGTTGATTAGAGAGTTCGTCGACCTTCCATTTTTCCTTGAGACCCCGCAGCACTTCTTTGATATTAGGATAACCACCACTTCGACCTTCAATTAACCTTGTTGTCATGTATATAGCCGTGGATGCTGCATATAGCAAGCAATCGTCTGTGTTGCCTTGGTTTCTTGGCTTGAACTCTTTTCTCTGATTGAGATTGATGCATCCTATCAGGGATATATGGCTCAGAAAAGGGAGCAGACAATCTTTTCGCGTTATCAGTTCTTTCGCAAACGTGTAAACCGCATCTAAGTTTGTAGGACTGTTTGCATGAAAAAAACAATTTTATTTTATCGTTTTCCATGTTCCCAGAGTCGTCGATTTGCCAATTGTAATCGTTCAGGATGTGCAGAGGGATGTTTGCGCTGGAAACGGCACTACTGATATCGAAAAGAAACTTTGCTTGATCTTCCCAATACGGGTAACGTGCATTTTTCGGTGTATAGATCGTTAAACTTTCCACTGAGGTGTTTTTAGCGATGTAGCATGAGACAACTTTGATGGCTTTGGAGTTTGTCAACTCTTTCATTTCATCAATTTCTTTTTCTCCAATTTCGTTCTTTTTAACCCCCTCAGAAACTATTACCAAGATTTTTTCGTGAAGATCATTTTCAGTGCTAGCCATAACCTGTACTATATTCTTGAAACTTCCGAAAAACACGAGCCTTTTTTTGCCTGAATCACCATTATACGACCTCTTTTCGTAACACCACCAGTAATAAGTCATTGAGTTACTCTTTGGAAGTTCACTATAGGAGGCCCTTGATACGGCTCTAAAACACAAAAAAATGAGCGGCATACAAAGCAATGTCTCATTATTAATTATTATTTGATGTACTAATAAAGGTTTTTCATGAAACTATCAGTCAAATACTGGCAGATTTCATCAAAAAATTTCAATAATTCGACTGCAATAATTCATTAAGCACTTTTTCTAATCTTTTTAACGGAAAACATTAGAAGTTTGAAAAGATGGCTTTTGGTTGGTACGATTTGCTGAAATTGAAATTTTTGCGTGGTTTTCTATATATGCAGGCGAGAATTTTTTTTTTGTAAATTTTGAAAGATCAAAAATTTTTAAGCCAAGCATACCCATTTGTAATGAAATCTTTATGCAAGTTTCAGTGTAAAACCTATGAGAGAAAGTTGGAAAGACCCTGCATTCATAGCTAGCGTTTTGTCCGGAGTTCATAAGGCATAGCTAGTGTAACACACTAGTGGACAATATTAGGGTTACTCAGGTTTTCAATCTTTAAACTGCCTCTTTTTGTGGATGATTCTGGAAAAATTTCAACATCTGGGCTCTGTTTCAGATGGCGCGAATTTGAAAGAAACAGATGAGTTTAGAAAGTTGTCTCACACTGAACAATTAATTTTTATCGCTGAAAAAAGTCCACATTGCAGAACAAAACTTTTTTCTCAGCTTGTTCGAGAAAAAAGTCACTTCGATGCAAAACTTAGTACAGATGGCCAAAAGTGTAACTTTCACACATAGATAAAACTAGTCAGTCCCTAAAAGTCAAAATTGATTGTCTCATTGAGAGAAGCTCTCAACAATTTTTCTTGGTCTTTTTAAAATGTTTATCCAAATCCTCAGTGAATCTTGTTCAAAGTCATTCTTGAACAGAAGCTTTTTAGAAAGTGAAAACTTGTTTCTGCGCTCAATTTTGTCCACGAGTGAAGAAAACATATTCTTCCAAAAATTGCTTCAAAATAAGTTTCAAACTTCCTTGTAAAAGTCAAAACAAAACTGTGCAAAAGGAGATCTTTTTTTTTCAAAGTAAAAAGTTAACAAATCAAAAAGAACATATCTCTCAAATAGTTGATTCTATGATTGACTTAGTTGTCAAAAACATAATTGGCTGTAATTGTCTTAGTTGCGGCTCATACTATGTTTTTTTTTATTTTTTAGTATCATCTACGTTGTGGTGTGTTAATTTTTGCAGAAGGCTGATGCACTACCGACCAATCCTGTTTTGTCATAGATAAAATTTTGGGAACTGATTCAAATCAAATTGCAAATGCACTTTGGAGTTTTAGCGTTCAATCGAGAATAAAATCTGCTTCTGACTAGGGCAAATCACCACCAATGCTCAACCAAGGGCCAGCTATGATAAGATATAAAAATCTCTGTTTGCATAATTACTTTAAAAAATAAACACAAAACAAAACATTTTGTATGCGATCGAGACAGTTCTTCATGGACACCTTTGCCCAATTTTTTTTCTGCAGAACGGGTTAGACACAAAAAAAACTTTTAATAATAGAAATTCTAACGGATTCATCACGATATTAGTATTGTGAAAGTCCTGATATAACCTACTGCTGCTATAATGATTATCCTCACTAAGCAATTCCAAATCAATTATTTCTTTCTTTGTAGCTCGAAGGCAGAAACAAACACTTTTGTAATTTTCAGTGTATTTCTAATGCCGTAAAACATTTGGTTTTAACTAACAAAACCAAATGTTTTACGGCAGCATATGCTATACAGATACTTGTTGCAAAAAATGAAGAAGATGTGCTGAAAAAGCTATAATAGTAATGAACTAAAGCAACCGGGTAAATAAACTGAAACAGAACTTTGAAACTGGTTTTTCTCTTTTCCGTTGTATCTGCCAGGCCAAAATTGATCAGGACAAACATTATTTAGAGTCTAACCATCTTTGTTTTGGTGCAATTTTTTGCCAAAAATAGTCCCGTAAAATGGTTCATTTTATTTGGTCCAAAGTTTAGTAGGTAAACAAAATCAATTCAACATTATTACGAAAATTGTCCATGTTTATCCCCATCTTTTTGAGGGTGTAAATTTGTTTAAAATGTAGCAAAAAAAGATGCAACACAAAAAAAGATAAAAACTCATTGCAGTTTTTGTCCTCATCAGCTTTCGGCCAAACAAAGGTAAGTTCCAAGCAATTTTCGTCCCGATCATTTGAAAGGACATTTGAAATCTACAGACTTTTTACGTTTTATTTTCATTCAGTGGTATAGAAGTTCGTTCAGTACAAAAAGAAAAAGTGTTAAAAATCCATTAAGTTATATCGACATATTTCGGCAAATGAAGGCTGCCAAACAACCAATTATTCTGAAACCATAGAAGAATTATTGAAAAAGGCGTTTTGAAAAGACCATGTATATCAAAAACCCTATCGCGTAAGACAAAGATAATTAAAAGTGGTATTGAAAACAATCCAATGCGTCGGAATTGGAGAAGCTTCATTTCAATCAGCATCGACGCTCGCCATACCTTTATCTGACTGAATTCCACTTAATTGCTGATACTTTTAAAATATTGTTATTTCTCAGCCAAATGCTTCCACAAAACTTGATTTATTCCAGCTTAGGAATAGTCCTTTCTGATTTGATGAAAAAGTCTTTACTAAAGCCCATGCAAGCAAAGTTGACAGCAAACTTCACAAAGAGAGTGATGGCCGTTCTAGGATAAACTTGGACATTTTGATAATTTTGTTCAAAATATCATTATAACAGTCAATCTCAAAGAAAGTTCTATCATGTTTTCTCTTGTCTTGTTCAGTCTCAATTAAAGGACGTGAAACTGCCCAAATGGGTTCTTTTGCATTTACTTGGGAAGAACCAAAAATTAGATTTCTTCAGTGCTAAAAAACGTCAGAGTATTTATAACAGTTAGTATATTGTCAAAACTTCTCCTTTCAACATCCTCGAGCTTTTATGGTACAAAATCTAAAGGAACAACAAATTCTTCAAGAGTTTACCCAAATCTAGTATTTTGACACCATTCGACTCCTAATTATACTGGCCTATATTTAACTCCATCACCAACTACGGCTTCAAATTATAAATTTAGACAGCTAAAAAGCACTGTCATGTATTTTTCTAAATTCCACCTTGATTTTCAGAGAGTTAAATTGACTACGAATCTACCTGGGAACGAAAATAGATTACCTTTTTTTCAACATCTTCTATTACTCTGGGCTGTCAAAATGGCGTTTTAGAGAATCATTGAACAATGAGAGCAAAAACACTCATTTCCATATCTTTTAAGCCCTCACTTGAAAACCATCAATTAGCCCGCTATAGTTTGACTAATAACAGGTTCATTTTTTCTAGATGCCAATGGCAATCGCAACTGGCTCTACCTATAACCAATTTTTGGTTCTCCTGTAAATATAAAGAAAAAATATTTTATTTGGATATCCATTACGAGGCCAAACTGTGCACTGGATAGGAGCCCAATTTTGTGTCTGTATGTTCCTGGATTCCAGAGACAAGTCTTTAAACATGTTAAAGTTTTGTCGGAACGATCAAAGAGAAGGAAAGAACACAAGAAGAGCAAAGGGAGCGTCCTTGTTGCGGAATCAGCTTATAATGCACAAAATGCACAGTTTGGCCTCGTAATGTCGGTTATGTATAAAAATCAGTTTCAATTGTCGATCCAATTACTCGGCAGATCCACAGGACTGCAACATCATTTTTTTAAGGTTTTTTCAATTCGATGTTGATTATGATGATTAACACCCGCTATTAAAAGGGTAACTTGTCCAAATTTTTTTAAAACAGGAAGAATCATTTCGCCAAATTCAAATTTTTTGCATTCGGCCAAGATACCTCTATCTGTACTTTTCCTCGAACGCAGCATCTCTGGAGCATGATTTCTTATTAAACAGAAATGAATGTTTCAATACAAAAACTCTCAGAAACTGTTTCTTGATGCAAAAATTAACTTTGTTTCCGGGCTGCAAAAATTGCTTCGGCTACACTAAAAGATTTTTTTTGAATTTTTTAATAAGCTCGAGCTCTGGAGAAACGAAAATTAGCTTATCTTGGGAAAAAAGAAGGTTTTATAAAGTAATTTTTGCAGCCTTTCTATTGAAACGACTTGCTTGGCTTTGAGGCTTTGCTGTCCGTTCATCCTCCGCATTAAACGATGAAAGAAACTTTCACTGAAACTAACTTTACTATTACGGCAACGAAAATACTTACCGATTTTATTCACATGAAAACAGACAAACTTCAGACCACCACAGCTTCTTCAACGTTTTTTCGAGTCAATCTGATTTTCGTAGACTAAAAGTTTTATATTGCTTTTGTATTGAGAAAAACGCCAATTTTTTCGAGAGTGTAATGTTCTTATAACCGGCTCACCAATTTTTGATTCCCTTCAAAAACTTGTCAGCAAGAAAAAGTTTTCAACTGCAGACGAATTGATAGCTAAATTAAATATCCAGTTGGAAAAAAAAAGAATTCAGTCCTTGAACACGATAAATTGTGTATACTGGCAAAACTCCTAAGGCTATTTTACAGAGACCCTCAAATCAGATGATTACACAGATTCAATCGCGAAAAATGCAACAACTTTTGGTTTCGTAAAGGATAGAAGAAGCAAAGTAAACACAAAAGAAAAACACTTGTTAAAACATCAAATTTTGTTGGCAGTGGAAGCGCTAATGTACTCAATTTTCATAGCGTAACCCGAAATTAGAGCCTGAAACTGAAAAACATGCGAAAAAAAACCAGCAAAGCCCATTAGTTTTGTTTCCTGTAAGCTTCATAGAGCCTAGAGCGATAGCAGCTCGGTTATCTGCAATACGTTTGTAATGCGGAGTCAGGGACTCGAACAGGGGATTTGTGGTTTTTTGATCGAATTTTTTCATCTGCGCTTTTTGAATGCCATATTGGAACCAATAAAAAATTATTGAAAAAATATCGACGGTAGAAGTAATGGGCAAAACCACTGAGACCACTCGATGTGTCAGCAAAACTGATTAGCCATGTGGAGTTGGAAGGGGAGGCT